GGCAGTCTGGATGCTAGATATAAACTTTTTATATTATACATTTAGTTGTATAATCTTTTTTTGTGTGTGGTGTCATGTGACTGACAAAATATGATATTTCATGTGATGTTCAGAAATAAACTTTCATGTTGCTCTATGGACACTTTTAAAGAAAGTGAAAAAGAGCTGCACATCAGTGCTGGTAAGACCCAGGGATTCACTGGAGTTTTACAGGTGTTTGCTGTGGTTTTAGCTCTTTCTCTGTATTTTTAACTTCAAAACCAGCTTGCTAAACACATGGAAAAAAAATCCAGTCAACATTTGAGTTGAACACATCTTGATACTGCTTTAAATGCAAGCATATTTTGAAGTGTCTAAACCTAGTGCACCCACAGCATTGTTTGTAGCAGTCCTTCCAAGAGACTTCTCTCAGAGGATTTAAGGGTATTAATGGTGGAATATCTTACAATCTCCGTTCAAGAACTTAAGCCTTTAAGAAATTCTCCAGCCACGGTGACATTGAAAAGGTTAACTATAAATGTTTGTTCTTTTGCTTTAGTGGCAGTGTCTGAACCTGCTCTGCTAAGCAGGGACAGTGCTCTGTGCTCTTCAGGGCACTCAGACACTTGATGTTTACTGCTGTGCCAGCAGAAATTTGCACCCATGATTAAGCAGAGGTGTTTTACTTCTCTTGGAACTCGTTAAATATAATTTACAGAAGCATTTGCCTGTTTCCTTCACCTCAGTTTTCTCAGAGTTAGGAATGAAAATGAACACTGTCAGGAAGAAAATTTTTGGGCTTCTTTTCCAGTTTCCTTTCTGGTTTCTTGTGTGATAAACACGTGTTCAAATAGTTTGTTCTCCCTATCAGATTAATTTTAAACATTTATAAAAGGAAGGCAGGAATAAAAGCCTCTGTTTCCTCACATCTGTCAGCACTGTCTCACTGGAAAATAAGCAGAGCCTTATGTGGTCAAGAGTTCTGAAAGGCTTTTTTTGTTGCTTCAAAGTTGGATATATTTGATAAATATACCTCATGTCATTCTATTGTGCATTTGTGTAGAAATGGATGTGGAGTGGGATGTTTTTAACAATCTCAGCATCTGGTAACTCTTTGTAAATGTTTGATTCACATTTCTCTACCTCAAAGAGGTTTTGTTCTAACAAGCACTGAAGTGAAAGGTGGCATTTGCATTGATTTACTTGAATCCCACATCAGAACAACATTTAAAGAATTTAGAAATTGCCCCCCTCCCAGGGACAAATTTTTACTGTGTTGAATCATCACCTAAAAAAAGAACTGAGCATAGCATTGGTAACAATATAGTTTCAACTAAATTTACTCTCCACAAACCAATGATATGATTCTTCAATTAACCCATTTGAAAACAACTGTGTGACATTTTGCATGAGGTTTTCTGCTTTTAAGGTGACTTTTAAGGTGATATTTTATATTATGCATTCACTTGACTTGTCAGACTTCCCAACAGGGTTGGTTATTTATGACTAGTGGCATTAATGCTTGTGGTTTATGTGGTTGGCAGAATGTAACCCTGGTGCCTGGAAGAACAAGCAGGAGCAAACTGGTGGCATGAGATGTTCACCTGGTGTGGTGACAACCACTTCTATAGCTCCTGGGATAGATTTTTGACTGTTCTCACACTGTGATCATGTGTGCTATCACTGAGTCAGAAAAAGGAGGTGATGGGAGAAATGGCTGATTATTTCCCTGCTGGATCATGGGATTTTTCTCACCCTCACTGATGAGTGGTATTGACAGGACTTGCTACATGGCCTTCAAAAATCTCAGAGGGACATGGCAAGCTAAAATCATCTTTAAGTTAGAAGAATGTGCTGAATTCTGATAAGCAGGGTCTTGTAATGAGTTGGGAGGTGGGGCAGTAAAAGGAACAATATTGTCTTCATCAGCATTGTGTGACATAGTAAAGTTGTGGGGATGTACAAGTGGGAAGCATCTGGACACCTTCAGAGCCTCTGTTCTTCTTTGTGCTTCCTCTCTGTGCTCACACTTCCTTGTCCACTGTGCCTTGTCCTGGTGGTGTTGGTTTCTGACCCAGCTGCAGATCTCACAGCCAAGTGTGTGATGGGGCTTTGCAGAGGAGCCCACTGAGAGCTGCTGTGCAGTCCCCTGGGGCTGCCTGAGGACTCAGCTCTGCTGAGCCGTGTTATGTCACGGCACAGTGACTGTGCTGGGGGACAGATGGGCACGTGGCAGGTTTCAGGGGGTGGTCTGGTAAAGGTGGACTGTTCATAGCCAGAGGTATAAGGCAGTCCAAGCATTCAGACTCTGAATTCCTGGTGGATCTATAAGAATCAATACATCTGAGCTTGGGAAAAATATTACTGAGCAGGTTTGCTTCTTCTGCTTTGCTGGACTTCTATTACTGGTCATGCTTTTTTGCTTTTATATCCCAGTCTCATTTAGAGATGTATTGAAACAACTTTTCTCTTATGACCAGGGGCTCTGAAAGAGTTACAGTCCATAGCACAACAAAAGGAGAAGCCAGTTATGCTGACAAAACAGAAATTTCACTGATTTTGACAGTTGAGGGACATTGACCTGTGGGACAAATGTGTCTCTTGCTGAGCTCTGGAACTACCCAGTGAAGCAGTGAGCACAGGGTAAAACTGGGTGAAAGCAGGTCTGCACAAAGGCAGAGTGGTTCCCAACTGCCTCATGCTCCTGTTCTTCATGCAGTGACTTCAAAAAGAAGTCACTGTTTTCTTTTCACAGTTAGAAACCAGCCCTGACAGTCAACTGTGGCAACAGACCTTTCTACCTAGTATGTTTTTCCCATCCTGCCCCCTCTTTTCTTCTTCTGCTCCCCTGGGAGCAGCACTACAGCCCTCCCTAAGGTCACAGCAAAGAGTGAACTATTTGGGAGTAGCTACAAGATGCCACAGCTTCTGGATAGTAGTCCTGGAAAATACCACAGTCTCCTAATTGCTGTTTCTCTTATCTGAGGAGTCGTGGCCCATACACGTGAAGTGAATAAATGATGAATTTCTCACTGATGAGTTTCTCCTGCCATCATGACCCATTTATGAGCCGGTGTCTGAAAGTTCCCACTGGAAACAGAACATATATTTTTGTCTTCAAGCCAAGAGCTGGAAAGCTCTCAGCTGAAACCCAAAAATCTATATACTGAGAGTGAGTGACCGTTTTCCTCTTTTCTCACTTCTACCCAACACGTGTCAGACTTTTCTTGTGATTTGATGTAATCTCACTTCCTCTGTGTTTTGCCTGGGACTGTGGTAATATTCCTCCTCCTCACACTGCCTACAAGCCTGGATGAATTAGTAACCTGCACCTCTCAAATTGCAAAATGGAACAAAGGGGCTTTCCTTCACTCCAGCAGTTACCCTGCTACAAAAAATCCCCAGCAGAAGAAAAGCCAATTCTTCTGGTGTCAGCACCCTTCATACTCAAGAAGGCAAGCTCAGGAGAGGATCTGATCTGTATGGGTTGTTCTCTATCCTCTTTCATTGACTGTTACTACATGGTTGACTTTAGAGTTGCTTTGACATCCCTGGGACTGGTGCCAAAGTGGAATTAATCAGAAAATACCAGAACCATGCATAATGGGCTTCTTGTCAAACCACTTTCTGCTAAACTCAGCAGAACCTGAACATGGCAGAGAACAGGGGGCTAAATGGGAAGGAAATTGCTAGCACAGATGTTTAATGTGTGGTTGCAAATAACAGACTCCTCCCTTTTGTGTAACTCAGACCATAAAGAATATGAGTATGTGCATCATCCAAGAGCATCTCACTCTTGAGTGATGTTGGACCTGGGAAGGTTGGTGATAGAGTGATACTGTAAGTTGTAATTGCTCCATTTTTGTTTGAATAAAACCTATTGATCCAGGGAAGAGCATACCCCAAACCTCAAGAGGAAAGACAGAGTTGGCTTTAAATAATTCACAACATTCAACACTTTCTTTTTGTCTTTCAAGTAATGGGGCCAAATTCATTTCTGATCTGCCTCCAATAATTTGAAGAGAATTAAACCATTACTGTCATATATTATTTGTGTGCTTGGCACTAGGCAAGACATCAGGAATGAATGTAGTCCATTATGTTTCTGGACATAAGTTCTGTCTTTGAATTCCAGTGCCTGAACTTAAGCACTGAGTGGGATATCACCTACAGAATAATGTTTTGAGCATCCTGAGAAATAACCTTTCTGTGTCCTTAGGACTTAATTTTAAGGACCCAACATTCATTGACTGTAGTTGAAAATTATAGTGATAGTCTCCTGACAATGTGAACAAGATTTTTCTGGAGCAATCTTTGATCAACAGAGGATTTCTTAATTATCTCCTTGTTTAGCAAGTCACTCTGCAGCACATCAGCATATTCTGAGGTTTGTTGGTTAAAGGGTGTTGCTGGCTGTTTTCCCCTTCTACCTCTTGTGCCCTCTCATGAATATGGAGAATCTAGTAGGTTTTGGTATTATGGAAGAACATGCCTCTAATAAAAGACTTGCTGCAGTCTGCAAATCTGATACCATCCAGTGCAGTCCTCTGCAGTGCTCTGAATTCTAGCAGTCACCTCACAGCAGACACTGCCCCACATGTCCCCTTCGTGGGGGGCTGCATTTACCCACCCTCAAGCAAATGCTGCTCAGTGCAGGAGTTTGAGTGTCCTCGGTTTATCAGGTAAACAAATAATGTGTTTTCTGGATTTATGATGTTGGTTTTTTATCCTATGCCCAAAATGTTGATGAATGTATGAAATAACTGCCCACCAGTTTCCAGCGTTAAATGTTCCACAGAGATCATCTCTAGCCCAAGGCCTTGGCGTTCAAACGAGCTTATTACAGAGATGCTCCCTGTGTGCCCATTTGAAAGGTTCTTTGGATTTATAGAAAGATTTGGCAGTTCATAAAAATTGAGTAGACCCACATAGAGTTTCCTGACAAAATTAGCCAGATGCATATGCTTTTTAGCATGTTTAACTGACATTAACAGAGTTATCCTGGGCTTTTGTTTCTCCAGCCAAAACACCCCAACCCGGACTGGCGCTATTCTGCATCTCTGAGGGCAGGAATGCAAAGGTACGTGTGGTGGTTCTCCGGTGAGGGGAGATCTCTCTTTGTCCTCTGTGGAAAGGACAAACTCTGGTTCCTCTGGTGCCCCAGACTGATGTTATCCATGCTGAGATGGAAAGCACATGAGTTCTGCTGCTGTCACTTCCAATCTCCAAGTGCTACGGTGTCAGTCTGACTTGCATCTTATGCTGTTGTTGCAGAACTGTAGATCTGTGCTTTTTTGTTTTTATTTTTTCCTCCTGCCTTTGTATACGTTGATTGTCAAGGCATAATTGCTCCTGTTATCAAATCATTTAATTGTGATTATATACTTTTTGTTTATTTTAATGCTGCCTGTAATCATCAGTGCTGATGTTTCAATAGGCAGTCTGCAGCACTGCTGCATTTTCCATTTTCTTGTTACTCATTTCCATAAAAGTAGCTGCTCCTGCAGCAGGTTTGTTAACCACATGGTGCAATCAAGAAGATTAATACAGTTGAAAGGACTTCTTAAAGATACGAGATGGATTTTCAGAGAAGTAAGTGAGGCTTTTGTCCAAATCTCTTTAGACATCTTTGAAAATCCGCTGCCTAATATTGCAAGCAGTCTCTGCTCTAATTTGCTACTCAGTACACCTGGAAAAAGAGAATTCTAATAAAGTTGGTTTTGTAGATCCTAAATCAAACAGTATTTTTGCTCTCCCTGAGCAGATTAGAAAACTGATTTTATATTCAGGTGTAAGCTGATGTGATTAATAAGACTGCTGTACAGGTTCAGGTGCAAACATAAGGCTGCAGTAGTTTCTAGTGGCATTATAAAGTGGAGGATGGTTTGCTTTTCCAAAAATTGTTGGTGCAGTGGGACTGTAGGCATCACCTTTATCCATTGTCCATGGGGCTATAGAGTCTTCATAGGGTTGAAATTTTAAATTCAGTCATACCATGCTTCATGTGGGGAAGGGCACAGAGTGACTCCCAGCTGACTTTGAGCTGCTTTGTACAAAGGAATCTGAACCTCAGGGACCAGAAGGAAAAGAAGGCAGAGCAAGCTTGACTCTGTGGCCTGTTGGGAAAACTGCTTGCTTTCTTTTATGTTCTTTCTGTGACTTTCAATTATTTTTTTTTGTAATCCCTGACTGCTTACTGCAAAATGAGTAAACAGTCTGGGGGGCAGGGTCCTGAAACAGGAATTCTGCCTATCTGAGCCTGTCTGCTGGTCCCGAGTCAGACATACTCTTGTGTATTCCCAGTGTGATCCTGTGGATCCATGTTCCTTTCTATACAGAGTTCAAGATCTTGGCTGAAGTTAATTGAAAAATTAATGAAAAGTCAGAGCTTATTTAAAGCAATTAATCCCACAAGCAGGGCAGCTAATGGAGGCTTTCTGGAAATCATGTATGTTCCTCTGTTCTCTTACATAAGCAGCCCCCATCCTTGCCTGAAATCTCAGGTTCTGAGCATGTGTGCCTTGCCCAGCTGATAAAATGCTGATTTTTCATAAGATTTGTAGAAATTTAGTATCTGTAGGACCCTTGGGATCTGCCACGTTTGGTTGACACTGCCCATGAAGTTCAGCTGGGAGTGTGGAAGGGAGCTGAAAAGCAGATGAGCTGAGGCAGAGACACAGTCACTGAATCCTGTCTGTCTAAGGAACTGCATATAAATACATGCCTAGTTTTGCATTAAAAGTAGCAGATTTTTTCTTTTCCTTCCATGTAAGGTGAAAATTGGTGCTTTCATGTGCTCATGATGTGACACTGTAAAATTGGCTGTAATAGTTCCTGCATTTGAGCAAATGTATTTTTCTTCCTGAAATTAACCCAGGAAGGTGGGATCTGTTAAAATAGCATAAAGACAGAGGCTCAGAACCAACCCCACCAACTTTTTATCATTTTAGTAAATATTAATGCTAATACATCATAACAGCAAAGGTGTGTAACTTCTTTATTAGAGATTCCCAGTCAATGAGAGCAAAGTATCCTGCAGGTTTGTTTGTTTTGTAGGTTGTGCCACAACTGGGTTTTAGTAAATAATCAAAGGTTATTTTTTGCAAGTCAAAGCCGCTGGTTCTCCTGTGCTCCAGCAGAATTTTCTAACATCTGTAGCAGCTGTTGCACACTGACAAATGGTTATGAACTTTGAAGAGTTGAGAGAAAGGGAAATGCTTTAAAGCCCAGGGCAGGGGGAGCTGTGTAATCTGACTGTGATCTGTGCTTATCCAGTGCTGTCCATATGGAGGAGGCAGCAGTCCTGCGTGGAGGACCAGGAGGGCCTGACCAGCAGTGGCCAACAGTCTCCAGTGCTACAGGAGGTAAGGGTGTGAAAATCCAGAATATCTATGAAGAGCTAATGTTAGCTGCAGTTGACCTCCTAATGCTCCCATCTTAGTTTTCCCTCTGTTTTGTGCCGTGGAGTGAAGTTGTTGTAAATTAATCTGTGGGATCTAAATAGAGTGGAACAATAAAGCATAAAATACATCTTTTGCTTTGCTCAGTCTCAGATGAGCACTGGAGATAAGAATCCTTGATCCAAGCTTTGACCCTGCCTTTGGAGGTTACTGGTTTGTGTAATGGAATAATGGGATAATGGTTCAGTTCTGATGTGTGTATTCAGGTGTGTGTATTCTAGAGCTGATTTGCCCTCCATTTCAAAAGAACAGCAAAACTGGGGTAGGAGCTTATCAGCCTTCCTTTTGTTATTTTTACAAACCTAGTAAGTCTCTTTGAATATCTCTTCTCATTTTCATTTTCTGTGGGGAAATCAGACCTATTTTTTTTTGCTAGCTATTTTCATTGCCTAATACACAATGATGGAACCTAAACTGTTATTTGTTTAACAAATTGAATGACAAAACCAGTGTTTTGGAATGTAGCTTCATTTACTCAGTCACTGATTGATGACTCAATAAGGTCAATAAGAATCGGTAGAAAATCTTCATTGAGTTTAGAGGGAAAAAACAGGTATCTTTTGCAGGGAAGGCAATAAAATATTGTCATTTTTTATGTTGTAGCAGGAATAATATAGAGACGTAGTAGTAGGCAGTCACTGGTGTAGTAAGTGGTTTCAGTCATGTCCAAATTGAACTGTAAACTTAGTGGATGCCCTGCATAGGTTGCTGAGCCCGGTATGGCAGCTCTGTGAGCATTATCAGTCCAAACTTCAAATGAGGAGCCATGCTCATATCACAGAGGCAGCTCAAATGCTGACAAGTGGAGTCTCTAGCAGAAAAGATGTGAGAGATGCTGTATTTAATCCTTTTTTTTTTTTCTGCAAACTTTTCTTTCATCATCAATGGGAATTTTACCTGGATAAAAAGCTGAGGAGCAACATCAGGATTTGCAATCACAGTTACAACATCAGCAAATTAGTGGTGCCCAGCAAAACCTGCAGTGGTGTTGCAGAAGGGTTATTTGCAGAAACAGATTTGAAAATTAATTTAATATATAATGGGTCCCTAGGCTATAATTACCTGGGGTTTGTGTGCCCTTTCTTATGCTGCAGACTTTGGAGCAAGACACAGTCTGTGCATGTTATGAAGGGTGTGTGACTGTTGAGTTTGTATTTGAAAATGTCACCACAAGTACACCCTAACCTTTACAAGGGGTTCCCTCAGGCTTCAGCTGCACTAATCATCCTTGACTGAGCACTTAGGGTATTACCTTAGAGCAAGTTCTGTATGGATGCAAATATTCTCCCAGATGTTTCCTTGCTGGTACTACAGATTTCCAAGTCTCTGAATGTAAATGCAAAGGGTAGGATGGTCCTGTCTTCTCAGGAGGCCTGCTGGCATTTGGGTCCCAGAGCCCTGTTCCACTATTTGGACTCCTCCCTGCTATTGCTTTTTGGGTTTTATCATATTAGGTTCACTTTGTGAACCTGAAGATCTCTTTGTTTGAGGACCAGCAGTCACCCTTGGCTCCTACTGCTCCTTCCCTCATGAGGATGCAGTGAGGCACTTGAGCAATGAGGACTCATTTGTTTTGTCTTTGTCCACTCCCAAGGGCTTAGTGACCCTGACATAACATTAATTAGGCCTTTTCTTTGTTTGTTTGTTTTTGGTTTGGTTTTGTAGTGGATTTCAGGTAATATTTTTCTCCACTCTGTGTAAACAAAAGCTACAGATATCCCTGATCCTTAATAACAAACATGTGTTTCATAGGGAAATCTCAGAACTAATGATTGTGCTAGCATTCCTATCCTCAATACATCACATTTTTAGGAAATTACTACCACTGCTTTAAATTCCTATCTGAGGTCTCCCACAAATATGTCTTCCAATGTTTCTTTTTTATTATTTTTTGGTCTTAGATTCAAGACCTGTGCTATTTTTTAACACACTCGAGTGAGGCTTTTCAGAAGAGATTTAACTCATTAAGGGTCAATTGCAGTCGATTGAGTCAACAAATGCGTTTGCTCTGGACATACATTTGCATGTGAATGGAGCACCCTTGGTCCAGATCAACTCCTAGATAAGCTGTTTGTTATCTCTGTTGTCATCAGCACACTGAGGCAGCTGCAAGTCCCTAATTCTGACTACTAGAAACCACTTCGAAGTCTGCTCTGTGCACACACCCTCCATGCAGTTGGTTTAGTCAATAAATCCAAATCAGTTTGTCACTAAACTATTCATTTTCCTTTAACAATCCAGAAAAGCCACGGATAAGATGCTTCTGAGAGTTAGAGAGCATTCAAAGATGATGTCATAGGACCACTTTGAGAAGGATGAGCAAATCAGTGATTAAATCAGTAAATCCTTAATTCCTATTTCACAGTTGAACTCAAACATCCCGTGTTTTTCAGCAAATATGTGTTGCTTAAGCAAAACCTGGTCTTCATTTGACTGTCAGCACTCCTGTTGATTTTATTGCATAGTTCACCCATGCAAGGGACAGTGAATTTTCATCTGGCATTTTTTAATTGTCTTTGCATTTTCTTATTCACCAATCCAATCGTTTATAGGTTTGACAGTCAGGAAACTTCCAGGTGAGGGAACAAGAAGGCTCAAACTCCCTCTGACGTAGAATTTAGCTCTCAGGGCATCTTGTTTGTCCCCCACAGGCCATATAGTGAGTCCAAGGAATGCAGACAGATTTCTGATCTTTGCTCTATATCCTTCAACAGTTTTGGCAATTCTATCAGGCTTTTTATAGGTGACCACTATTCTGAGTGAACTTTTTTTGTTTGCCTAACTCAGAATAAATGGAGCTTAATTTGCAGAAATGGTGGGAGCTCGTAACAGAAACTAAGATGAAAAGAAACTCTAGGCATAAACCACTGAAGATTTCTGAATAAATCAGAACTATGCATAATTCAGAACTTAGAGTAGTGAGCTTTAGCAAATCTTTGCTCCTGGTTCAAACCTACAAAACATAAGCAGTAATGCAAGTGCTTCACAAAATAGTCTAAAGATGCTTTCATAGCACATGTAAGACTCAGGAGTATAACAAGGTTTTGTGATGAAAAACAGCCATGAGAAATTTCAGATCCTGTATTTAATGTAGGCTTTAGAGGTGTGCAGTCAATAAGGCTCTGGGCTACACACCATTGCATAGAGAAGGGAAAATAAAATGCTTCCATTCAGACAGCTCTGTAAACAAAAGAGGAAAGGATCTCATGATAAAATCTGCATCTGAAATTTGTGTGTAGGTGAAGCTGTGGGTGAAATACTTACATCTCTGAAGTCCATGGCAAATAACCCATTGACTTCAAGGAAATAAGAATTTCAGTGTCTAGCCTCACAAATATGCACAAGGGATTGAATTAAGGTTGCCTAGGCAAATGCCATCCTAAAATACACCAATTTATACTTCTGATTATGCAGTGGTAACATTTTTCTAAGTATATCTGTAATTTTTGTTTCCTGTTCTCGGGTAATCAGCTGGAAAAGAGAAGTGATAGCCTTGTTTTTTTAAACAGTCTTATGAGAAAAGCAATTATATTGTGTGAGAATCTACTGACCTCAACATGGACAGTTCTCAATGCTTGGCATTCATGGTGCTTATGTTTATCCCTTGAACTGGCCAAGTAAACAGCAATAGGAATAGAGGTTGCTTTTCCTTAAGGGAAATAAGTAGGAGAGACAGGTTAGCTGTAGGTTTCATAGCTGCTTGAAAAGATGTGGGAATATTTTAAGGGTAGGACCTGAGGGAACAGCTGGAGCTGTGTCAGGGGAGGTTTAGGTTAGATCTCAGGAAAAGGTTCTTCCCTCAGAGGGTGGTTGGGCACTGAACAGGCTCCCCAGGGCAGTGGGCACAGCACCAAGGCTGCCAGAGCTCAAGGAACGTTTGGACAACATTGTGAGGAACAGGATGGGATTGTTGGAGTGTCCTGGGCAGGGCCAGGAGTTGGACTTGGCTGGTCTTTGTAAGTCCCTTCCAACTCAAGATATTCCATGATTCTATGAACCAAGAAACCTAGAGACCAACTCTAGGTCTAAAGAGAACTGTGTGTGCTATATATATATATATATATATATATATATATATATACACACACACACGTATATATATATGCTTATGTAGAGAGAGAGTGTTTATACATATTTAGAGCTCCCTGCATCCCATCCTCCTGAGTCTGAATCTTTAAACATTTGTCCTCTGAAGTTTGTGTTTCTCCCAGCTTTCCTGGTTTTATTCAGTTCTTCCTGCTGTTCTTTACCTCCTGCCTAGCTGTGGCCTTTTCACACGTGCCATGCTAGCCAGGGATATTCCATGCCTCTATACTGTCAGATTGCCATGGATTTATGCTGCAAACTACATTTGCTCTGAAAGAGATTTGTGTGCTCTCAGAGGATGGTTCCTGCAGCAATCAGCTGGAATGCAGATGAGGTCCATTGATGGGGCATGAGGTGTAGAATAAGTGATGAAAACTGAAAATTGAATGTGAAGCAACTATAATTATGGCAAATAAGCAGAGTTATTTGAAAGGTAAAGTCAGTCTTTCTAGTGGGTTTTCTGCTGCTGGTTTGGGGTAGAGTGTTGTGAACAAAATGACTGTGGGAAAGCTTTGAAGAAAGGAAAGGAGTTCCTGTGTGGATTTTAAGAAAAATGTCCAAGATTGCCTTGACAGGGGAAGAAATTATAATAATTATCTAGTGTAAGTTGTGACATGCACAGTTCTGTGTTTAACACACTGATTTGGATGTCAAGCAAGTAAATCCTGCTCGAATTAGAATATTGTATCTGAAAGAGATACTTTGTTCCAATGAAACTGTGAGAAGGGCCCAGATAAGAAATGGAGTGTTAGTGTAGCAGCAGGGATCTGAGCAGAGAAATCTAAGGGCGTGAGAGGGGACACCAGGAAACATCTTGT